CAAGGCATAGGAAACTTCCTTAAGTTTTTTGGTTTTGATGGTTTGGGTTTTGTTTGTTTGTTTGTTTGTTTAATTTAACAAGTGACAGTTACCATCAATGTCAAGACGGTTTTATTATCCATGCTGGCCTAAATAAACTTAGGACATATCCTAATAAATATAAATGAGCATACTCTTGGAATTCATCTCTCTGGCCAAGGTGTGAATTCATCAAAGCAAAAGTGTGTTTTGTTTTGACATTCACATGCAGCATATCCAAAAACCATCCCTGATCCCACAGAATGGGGATGTCCCCTCCGTAAGCATGCCATGTCACACGCAGTGGAATCTCAGTCCACACAAGGACAAGACTGAATACTGCTATGGTGCTCTTTTGATTTAATTTTCAAGGTAATGTGTAGACTATGCATAGTCACAGACCAGTGAATTGCTGGTGTCCCCACAGCCAAGCACAAAACAGCCCAAAGGAGGTAGGTGGAATACAAATGGATTACCACATCTCTGATGCATGAGAAGCTGCAGTGATAACAGAGTCTTGGAATAGCACAGCCACTGCGTACTAATAAAGGCATGACACAACACAACTGATATAGGAGTTTGGCATGTTAGGTGGGAAGGAACATGCCTGGTTCTGATCTAGCTGGCAGGTCATTTCTTATGTCCTCCAGCAGACACCATATACTGACAAGTATTTTAAAAGATTTACATTAACAAGTCACAGTTGAGTATTTTTCCACAGACAATATATGTAAATGTTATCGTGGGAGATTGAGTTCTTGGGATTTGAAAGCGTACAGCCACTGCTCAAATGTGATACACATCACATTCTCAGATGACTCAAATACATTTAAACAGCTCTAATATCAGCCTGGATGATAAGAGAAGCTACTCCATTCCTGCTTCCTAGAACTGCCTGCCTTTAAAGTCACAGGGTACTTCCAGCTTTCATCCAGCAGCAGCACGATGCAGAAGCAACTCTTGATAATCCCCACCGGGACATACCCACCAGTGCATGTTATTAGATGTTCCCATTGTTCCTTAAATGAGCAGGGATTTATTTCCATGCTTGTGGGATACTGCAAGCTACAAGAAAACTTTTAGATGTTTAAAGAAAAGCTCCATTATTACCAGGGGGCGTGTTTGAAACCACAAACTGTGAAGATCGTCATGCATTTATGGGTGGGTAAAACCAAAGTCTATAAACTTCTCAACATGACCAATTCGGTCTGCTCACTGTGTGCAGGGAGTTTTGTAAAGGTGACTCACTCCCACCAACTTTGTTAGGTATACTTTCTGCAGTTGTGATGCTGTATTTACAAATATTTCTTTTCAAAAGCAGATGTTTCCCAAGAACCGTAGTTACTACAGAGTGCCAGTTTGATTTGCCTCCTTGAATCCCCTCTGCTGCAGCGAAAGGAAGATACCAGCAAGGGAGAAGTCTGATCTCCTCTGGTTGTTCTTTGTTAGCAAGGTAATTTCTGAGCTTTACCACCAAAACTAAACTATTGGAAACTGTCCTTCTTTCTTCTGTACTACTGCAGGAACGAGCCATACAATAAGTGGAAAACAGAAAATCATAATTATACTTTTGCAAACTACTGATTCTACATCATATTAGAAAATGGCACGACCAACAACAGATGTTTTAGAACTGCACAGCCTAGCAACAATGACATGATCTGACAATTTACAATCATCTCATAGCACTAAACTGGGGGACCACAGGAGCCCCCTGCAGTAAGACTTTAAGCCTTTAATTTTGCACTTCTCTGGCTCACCTTTCAGCTAAGGAAGTATGTTTTCTTTAAAAGCTGATTGCTTTTCCATAAACCTGCATGACCTGAACTTACAGGTTAAAGTTCAGTGCCCAGTTGTGTAAATTGCAAGGCTCCGAATTGACAACCGTGTCCCTGACCAGGTCAAGCATGCAGAGCTGGAGGTTATCTTTCCAGAGCAGAGCTGTGCTATGTTGGCCAGATACGGGTAGAAAATATTTTTAACAATGCAAATGTTAAAAATACATATTTAAAAATATTTAGAAGTTCATTATGATTTGGAGAACTTTAGACACCTAAACTCCATAGCATGAAAACTTTGTTACAAAATCAAATGCTGCACACTTTCTTTCTTTCTTATTTTTTCCCCTCTAACATTGCAAGCAATTCCTATTTGTGGATATAGGGAAGAATCTTAACAGTGTAGGCTCAAATGCAGGCCATGGAAAAGACATCTGAACCATACAACGTTTGGTAGGACTTGATCCATAATTAAAACTTTGTCTGCTGCTGATAGCTATGAAGAAGTCCTTTCTTCAGTGCTTCACATATTGGTTTTTTATTACTTAAGACACAATTAGTCTTCTGTGATGGAAATCACACAAAATGCATTATTGCTGGCTACCATATCATATCCAAGACTCAGCAGTGAACACTTGATTTTTTTAAAAATTCCTTATTTTAAAAAGTCATATTTAAAAAAAAAATACAGATTCTTCTTTACTACTTTATTTACAACCTTTACTGCTAGCGTAAGCAAAGCAAAACTCCATTCTGGCAATGGACTGGTGCACAGGTAACCTTTCTATAATGCCTTCAAATACCACTTGGACGCTTCACACGACTTCTTACGGAATATCATCAAAAGACATTTCAGCTGAAGGAACATATGGTTGAATGTTTCATTCAGCCATGTATTCAACGCATGCAACGTCCACACAAAAGTTACATACCCTCACATTGTGTGTACCCTTCAAGATGCTTCAAAGAACACACAACAAAATAATCACAGAAATGGCCTGTTACAGTCCCTACAATACACTTACCAGTTTGTCAATACACAAAGCTGGAAAAACTGATCCTACGGCAGTATTCCAAAGCAAGGGCATTGTATAAAAATTACAGGCAGGCTGGTATTACCTTCAGACTTTATTATAATAACAATAACAATTTTTTAAACACCTACTCTAGATTAACTTGGATATCTGTTACATAACAACTGTAGCACTCCCCCAGTAATTTCAGCAGCTAAGCTATGACTGTACACACCTTTCATAAACTTGGTTGGTGGTTTTAATCTATCTCAAACAACTGTTGTTCTAATAAATATTTCTTGCAAATGAAAAAATCATTGTAATAATTATGCAATATTATTTTTCTACGTTACTATAAAACCAGCAAAATAAACCAAAGCTTCTGGGTTTTTTTTCTGTGATCATAAACACGGACATGAAGCTCTCTGGGTAAAAAAAGAAGACCTACCTATTAGAAAAACATTACAGGTTTTACCATCATTAACCTTCGCTGGCTATTGGAACAATGCCTGCTCAAGTTCTGTGATTAGCCAGAAGAAATTGACACCTGGCACCAATATGATGTTTTCTGTATTGAAACAACACATGGGAAGTGAGAACGTGACTACTGTGTATCGTCCAGCAGTAAGACCCCATGACATTACAGTGATTATTATTCATATTAGAGAGTGCTGCAAGCCTCAGTCATGAAGCTACTGTATCAGAACAAAATGACTGTTCTTGTCACAGGGAGCTTGCGAGGGGCATAGAGGGAGGTGAGAGATGGGTGCAGACAGACTGGAGGGCACAATGAAACACAGGGACAGTTTATTAAACACAACAGGGACGACTCATTGTGCACCAGTAGTTTAAAACACTAAACTTCTGTAGACATCAAAGCCAAAAGGTTTTAAGGAGGGATGTAGATGACACCTAAGAGGGAATTTTCCAGAAATTTATGCTTATTTAGAAATCTAGAACAGGGGATGTGACTTGGTGGCACAATCAGACCAGGAGATAACTTATATAACTTCTTGATTTGAGTGAGAGGGATGGTGTAACAGCAGGCTTTGGCAATGATGTGAAAGTGAAGAGAGAAGCTTCACAACTAATGCAACAGAGATGGCAGAGCCAGGGCAGTAACACAAAGCAGAAAGCAACAAGTCAAAGCAAGAGACTAATATAAACAACCTACTCTGCAACTTTCTCAATGACTGCGAAATCTAAGTTGTTGAGCTGTCAAGGACAGAAAAAGGGACTACACTGAAATTCAGATCAATATGATCAAGTGGGATTAGACTGTAAATTGCACAACCATGTAGAAAAAACAGAGAGAGATATGCTATAGAAGAATGAAGATTGAGACAGAGCCAACATAAGAGGTTTTAAGAACATCCAAGTCAAAAGTTGTTGACTAAGCACAATCTCTATCAAAAAAAACCAGGACAACAGAAACTATGAGGGTTATAGAGCTGGGGATGCTCAATTGCACTGAAGCTGAAGCAACAGCTCAATCTTCAGGTGTAAGAAATGCAGACTAAGTTTTTTGGCAAAAGGCCACTCCTACCCTCACCCTTCTGTAAAAGGCACATCAGAAACCAAAGCCTCTTAACATGGTTGGTAGTGCAAGTACCCATGCAACTATTATGGAGAAGACAAGTGGGATTTTTGGAAGGAGTTAGCTATCCATCCGTGAAACAACAGTTAGATGGAACAGAAACACAGACTAGCAAAGCACACAAAACCCCACTTTGAAAAACCACCAACATGCTCTAGCTCATGCTTTCCCATTTTGTCACCTGACATCTTGAAATGCTCCAAGGTTCAGCAGGAGGAAAAAGTAGGACACCACTTATCTTCAGAATGCAGTAGATAAGCTTTCTTTCAGAAGATACATTTCTAGCAACATCATACAAGTAATCATAAATCTCAACAATGGGCATCGGCGTGGCACGCCAGAATTTTATAAGCACAGAACAAAACTTCTGCTTTCCATAAGCTTTCGTTCTATTTTGATAGACACATACCCTTGAATATCCTCATGGACATTTTAAAAGCTGTAATTTCAGCTCTGAGGTTTTGCAAGCTTTGTTTTGTGCGGTGTATGATATCATAAACATCCTGAATGTAATTACAACTGCAATTTTGTGGCCTGTATTTTCTCTCTTGGTAGCCCAAAGCTGATGTTTACAAAAACTTTTCTGCACACTTATTTGATTTGAACTTTTTATTATTATTACAAATGTATATTATTTTATTAAAAAAATTCACACTGAAGCAAAGTCAATTCCATTTCATTACAACCAAGAATATAAAATAAATGCAATGAACTCATAGCTTAGTTTTAACAGTCATTTCAAGAGTGACATCAGGACAACTTAAAAGCAGTAAACTCCCAACTCTAGAATGAGAAACAAGTATTTTGCTTTGTGGTTTTGCTAGCCCACTGGCATGGGCACTGCTGAATGTGGCCACCACAGATCTAGAGTGGCAAAGTTTTGTGGCAGCATGAGGCGCATACACAATAATTTCCAATGGAAACTACAAAAATGAAAGATGTGTGCATGAAATTATTAGAAAAAAAAAATAACTGAATAGAGACAGGCACACTTTCACAAATAGTAAACATGGGAATATACAACTAGAACAATTTGAAAAGTTACTACCTTACATATATAAAAAGTTCTTTAAATTGCTGTTAAAAAGGACATGTTCTGTCCAGATTTTGTGTAATACTTTTTAGTGTCTACACAAGACAAATTTTTAAAAAAATTAAATAGCATTAATTTACTACTAAATATTTAGGAGATAACAGTGCATTAAGGACTTTTTTCATATAGTAATACACATCGCTCCTGTCCGGCGACATTTTTAGAAGATTACGTATGGCCTTATGTACAATACATTTATTTAATCCTAAAACAATTCTTTGCTTAATGGTGTTAAAGTACCATTCCTGAAGATTATGAAGGGGAACTAAGCTTATTATGTTTATATAAAATATTATACATATTTGAACACTTCTAGCTTCCCGCCACCCCTCCCGCTATGAATGCTCTTCCCTCCCCCTCCCCAGATACAGTGTCACAGATACAGTGCAGGACTCGCAGCTTTCCCTACATTTCTCCTTCATTGTGCAGTTTGTGCTACATAAACTTCACCAACACGGATCAGGCTGCTCATCCTATTCATTCCCCACGTGTTTGTTTCCTCTGAGCCACGATGGGAAAAGCTGTACCCAGCAGCCTGCTCTCCCACCAGAATGGAGAAGACGGCTGGCTGCCCGCGTCACCTGCATCTCTCGGTGCAGGTGTGAAACACTTTGGTGAGGGTCTAAAGGTTACGGGCAGAGACAGAGCTATGAGTAATAACGAAGCTGCACAGGCAAAAAATAACAAAAATGACATGGTCCTGGTTTCCCATGACAAACTGCACGATTCACTTCTGAAAGCGGAATGTTTTTACCTCACGGGATGACCCCTAGACAGCAACGCTTCTTCCGCTATGACAGCCACTGACCCCGGCAGCATGCATCAAGCTCCCAAGAAAAAAGAGAACTATTTCACCACCAGGAAGGAACTACAAGAGTGTGCAGAGCCTATGTTTTGCAGCCAGCTCTTTTGCTTTTATTCACTCTCCTCCCAGTGGTGAGTTTGAAGGAATGGAGGAAGTCAGCTCGGCTTCATGTGTGCGCACAAAAGCTAGAGAGGAGCGGCACGCGGTCATCTACCAGACCTAACCAAGGCAGAAACACCAGCGCAGCTTAGAGAGGGGTCGTGGCAGTCACTCTAGAAGCTGGAAGCTCACTCAATTAAAGCACCTTACATTGCTGTGAAGTTTCACACTCTACATACAGATTAATCTACACCATGATTTTGCCTTACTGGCACAAGAGCCCACCTTAATTAACCATACAGTTCCCTGCCACTTGTATAAATTTTGATGACCACCTGCAGGTCACAGTAGGGAACAGAAATGTTACACAACTGCAGCAGAAAAGACAAAATAATTCTGAGATAAGAGAAAGACGAAAAGAACAGGAGAGGACAAAACTTACCCTGCCAAAGGTTAATTTCCATAAATGTGACATTCAAGTCAAATGTTACTTTATGGCATTGGCCAAAAAACCATTAGCTCAAAAGTACCTCATATTAACATCAGTAAGAGGTGAGATGGAAAGAAAGCAACCTCTCAGGCTCAATGAAATAAAGGAACAACTAAAATCTGTTCTTACAAACATGCTACTAGGGCATGTATAAAACAGAGCATTTCAAGGGTTACACATTGAAAGTACCCTTTGGGAGATTATTTTCCCCCAGAAATAAGGTTTTCCTTTCAATTGCTTCATTTCATTTTTCACCACCTTCTTAGCCATTTGATGACAAAAGCAGGTTTTAGTTGCTTTTTCAGGGCAGCTGGGTGTTGTCAAAACCACGTGATGGTAGGTATAGCCAAAACAAGCCAACTGCTCACAAAAGGTATGAAAAGAGCATTGAGTTTGAGGAGGAAGGGGGCACTAAAAGGTGATTGAGAGATGAAACCCAGTAGAAACTTGTATGTGACTAGCTGTGATGAAAAACATTCTCCTCAGAGCAAACAGATTTACTCACAGAATCACAGAATATGCCAAATTGGAAGGGACCCACACAGGTCATCAAGTCCAACTCAGCCCTGCACAGGACCATCCCCAAGAGTCACACCATGTGCCCAACTTCTTGAACTCTGTCAGGCTTAGTGCTGTGACCACTTCCCTGGGGAGTCTGTTCCAGTGCCCAACCACCCTCTGACACAGGACACAGAAGAGAACACAGTGCAGCATAAAAACCTATAATGTTAACCATTTATGCAAACTTCTCTCAGTTTACCTCTTCTCCAGACATCAGCTGTAGAAGCTCACTGGTGTTACACTGCCAGTAGCTTTTTAAATGCATTTTCCCAGGTTTTCTGCAACTACAATCAGCCTTATTTCTGAAGGCTGAAGGAAAAGTGAAGCTGTCCCAAATTACATGTTGTGTCTCTCTGAATAACTGTGGTTCCAGAAGTTGGACAATAATCCCCTGATTATGCTTCTGAACTCCTGTTTAATTACTGGGGATTTTCTGCCAGCTACCCATCCACTTGCAGTCCCTTAGGTACAATCAAAACATGTTTGCTCTAGGGAAAAAGAAACATTTCAGTGCAATCAAGCGCATCTGGTGTAACTAATCTGGTTAATCACAGCAATGTGAGGGACATACAATATGCACTATAAACATGAAAAAGGAACAGTTTTCAACATGCTTTTCAAACTGCACAATAATTTCTCTTAATTATTAATTCTAACATAAAATGATTAAATGCATTTGTTTTAGCAAGTCTTAGTATTTCTGTCACCTTTAAATTTTGAGAACTGACTCAGGAATACGAAAGAAAGCTAAATTTCTAGAACTCTCACATACATTAATCAGCTGCTTAAAAGAAAAAACAAGCCCATCATCCACATTCCTACTGAGACTCGAGGGCAGTAAATACATTTTCCTGACTATTTTGGTGTCCAGCCTGGGAAGACATTCCATTCTTCTGTTCTAACGGATCCTGAAAGCATCTCCATTTTATGTGACTGTCCTGGTTTCATTTAAAATAATGCTTAATTTAAAACTAGTCAGAGCATGATCACTGTGATTTCAAGAATTCAATGTGAATGAGTTAAGAAATACCAGCAATCTTCTGTTTGACGTTCAGTCCAGTAGCATGAAGCATATTTGTCGCTGCAGAGACTTGGGTGGTTTTTTTCTTTTTTCCTTTTTTCATTTTATTCATTTTTTAAATTTTTTATTTTTAACTTTGCCTGAAAACTAGACTAATAAAAACAGAATAGTAAAATACTCTGGAACAGTAAAATTTTGCTGTTCTTGACATCCATGAGCAAAACAGTAATATCCTGTGAAAATAACATAGTGCTTTAAAAAGGTGCAATATACCTGTATAGCTAAACTGGTTTGCCTAGTATAAAACTAACTATATACAAGCTTGAAAGCCTGGGAGTTCAAGATTTTCAAACTTTAAAATCCCATTAAAGAGATTGAAAAGACAGATTTATGGCAATCACTACAGCATAAGGAAGGTGCACCAGGAATCCTTCAAAATTCCAAAGGTTAAAGAAATTAAGTGCTGGGTTCAGATCAGAAGGGTTCATTAGAGTAACCACAATGGAGCACATGCAAGGGCAGGGAGGAAGGAAAACTTCGCAAGAATCTCCTTTATGGCAGTAAAGGGATAGGGTGAGGGAAGTCTTCAGTGAGTGAAGTTTTCCTTTTGTCATCATGAATTTTAATTCTGCATTATAGTTTGTATTTTTGGTCTTCTCATCATTATAAACTTCATATTGCTGGAGTCTTCTGGCTTTTAGTCCATTCCTTTCTGAGTGCAGCCTGTCAGGCCTCTCAGTACCTGTGAGACTGATGAGATTGGTGATACTGAGAGCTCTGCTGAGACGACGTGGAATAGCCCATTGTACTCTGGGACTGAGAAGATCCCTGAATGTTGCTTTGGTAACTCAGGCGTGAGCTGGAGTGCTGCAGGAAAAAAAAAGAAAGGGATCAGGGGAACGCAAACCTGCCTGTTAGGACTCCGCAGCTCAGGAAGATTTTAACCCTTCTGAAGGTCATTAAAACATAATTGTTGGAGAAGCTGACAAAAGAGTGCTACTATTTAGGGTCCCATAGAACAAGTAATCATTCTGACCTGCAATCAGCCCTAACACAGCATACAAAATACACAGAGTATTGGCAGACACCTAGAAGTACAACATATATGCACCCATTTTCTGAAGGAAAAATACACAAGACACAGGAGAGAAGACTCCCTTTCAAAATTCATTTGTTTCATACAATTATTTCTGTCATTACTGTAATTGCTATTAATGCAAAATCAAACTGCTAATGCCATAAATATCCTTCTCAGGATAGGTAATACCAAATGTTACAGAGAAACATTTTATTCTTTTCTGAGAAAAAGACAACCATGACCTAAGAGTTACTCAATTTATCTAAATGAAAAATTGCCAATTAAGATAAATAATATCATTTTAGGTGAGTCTTTCAACCTGCTGCCTTATCTACTGGAAACAAGGACAACTGCTTAAAGCTGGGCATGGGTATGTACGGTAACCTAACATTCATTTTCTTAAATGTTTTTCTCTTCCCTTCCACAGTTTGGGATGTCAGCTCAGTGGACCTCAACCTCAGCAAGGCAAATTCATGGATTGTTTGCGACCTCTAGCCTGATGAATTTGCTCTTTCATTATCACATCCATTCCCTGTCCAGAATTAACAGTGAACTGCCCGATAATGCAAGTTACAAAATCACTTGGCATGAAAAGTACTGCTCAGTGGATAGGAGACTCTCCGGTAAGGTAAACCCCACCCCAATTCATATGAGAGTCTACACTCCCTCCCCCTGCCCCCAAATTTGCAGTCAGAAAACAGTTTTGTTTCCAGCCAAGTTAAGCAAGGGTTCAGGCAGTCATTCAGTAGAGTTTTGTTCACTATCTAATTGGTGGTTCTACTTGGTTATGTCCAAGGGTCATCAACAAGCCCGTGGCCAACAGCAATCATCTAGGAAAAGTGTTAAGATCGTAACACTGTGATTAAGTATCAGCATTATGAGTTCCAGAAAGGCCCTGGAGAAGTTTGAGTTCTCAACGGAAATCCCATGGAGACACTGGGTCTGTAAGAACACCACACCCTCCACAGACCAAGAATCTGCTCAGTGAAGGCAGTCAGTGGTCTCATCTAACCATTGGACCCCAACCAGGAAAGCTGTGAAAGCCTCCTAACAACTTTTCAGCTGGATGATGAAAGAGCACGATCCTAAAGTTCAGGCAGTCTAAAACAGTTCTGCCCTTTGTTTCTGTACATGGCTTTATAATTTTAATTTTACATAAACTGTAAAACACACTAAATCCTAAAATCATCACATAACTTTTTCTGTGTTCTAACACAGGAACATGAAGGTTGCTTTCAAGATGAAGCACAGTGAGGCTAAAGTAAGAGAGAGAGGTAACAGTCCCATACTGGAGACCTCTGTATATCAATATAATACCAGTGTAACTAATAGTTGTACTGAGTAACTTCACTTGTTTGTAAGAGTCAGTTTTGGAGGCAACAGCTCGGCACTTTGGCTTTGGAAGAGATGTCTCCCAGCAGTATGTATGCTGTTAATAACCAAATTATTCTTGTCTTGCTTTGTTAGGTTGTTAACAGAGTGTCTAAAACCTGAAATTTTTCTCAAAATTCTGAAAGTTTTTTCAACTTCTAATGGAAAAAAAAAAAGGTATGATTTTATAGGAGCTTATTCTGGATGAAAAGCATCAGCTCACCATGATAAGCAAAACACCCAAGGTCACAAAAGGAATGCTCAGTAAAATTCACTCAGTACAATTTGTACTGTCATTTGTGGAAGCAACATATATTGAGGCTGATGAACTACAAGAAAACTTCAATGGAGACTTTAGGTCACAAGCTAAATGAAACTCAAAGCAAAGGGAATCTTCTTCCTATTTCTGAATAAGATATATCGGAGTAAAATTAATGCCATAAGACTACAAGAATGCAATAACTTGCCCATGCTTATTTTTGTTCCACATAAGAGAATTTGTTTTTAACTAAGTCAGACTTGGACAAATTGCAGACATTCCTTTCTGGAACAGAAGACAGCTAGAATTTAAGGGCAGAAAGCCAAACACAAGTGTAAAAATGGATAATCAAACCATACAATTTAGTGAGTGATGTAAAGGAACTATACAGATCATGATTTTGATGCCTGTGCTGTTCAAGTTTAGAAGGAAAGTATCACAGAGGGTTAAAAAGAAATTATCTGAAAAAAAATATTTAGCCTCATAGCAACTTGTAAGGGGGAAGTTTGCCAACAATTCAGAGAGTTGGATAAGAATTCTATAATGGATATCTTTAAATGCAGCACACCAGTCCTCAAAGTACAGACCAAAACAGACCAGCCATAAATACTGTGTATTCAGACAGCTGCAGTGATCTGTCCAGGCCTCAAGCCTGTCTGGAACTTTTCAAAAAAGAAACCTAGTTGTCTTTACCCTTGAATTGCCCTCAATGCCTTCATGATCGTTTGTAATTAAAAGAGTCAAACAGAAATGGGAGAAAAATGTCTGGCACTGAGAAATCAATTGTCTGTGGAGAAGGTCTGGAGGGCTAAGTCAAGGCAACTACAGAGCTTGGTGCTTTAAAAGTTAGTAACTTTAAGTTTAAAGCAGCCTGAAAAGACTGTTCTCCAAGGTGGGATTCTCTCAGAGGCTAGTAGCAGAGCCCCTAGCATCATTTAAATTCTACCTCTAATATCTACCTTCTTCTTATTCTGCTTTCAACTCATTACTGTTCCAGAAGTACTGAAGATCCCGGTAAGTTCAATGCTTTCTCTACTTAGTGAAAGTCACTTTTTCAGTGGACAATATAATCCCAGAAAGCAAAGACAAATATGCAAATCAAATATAATTCAGCGATACTGCTTTCACTTATGAATGCTACTGTACTAGAAGACATGAAATCTATTAAATTTTGGTCCCATTAGAAACAATGCATGTCTTTGTGCCCCACCTCAGCATGAATCATACAGATGAACCAAAACAACATTCCTGTGTTAGCATGCATTTTTTCTTTAACATTAGAAGTAGACTTAGAAAGATACCATAATAAACTACAGAACCACTTCATGCATGTGATAATATAAGGTAAAATGATGCAGGAATGAAATGGGAGAGCTTAGTTCTAACTTTACTTATGCTTCTCAGATCTGCTCCTCACACAGGATTTAATATTGCCAGGACTTGAGTATCCTGAACTTTATGCAATGCAGCATTTACATCCACTGGCTTCATTAATATTACTCTCTAACATGAAGTTCAGCAGATGTTTAAGTTCTTTCCTGGAGTGGACTAGTCTTCAACACTTTACAGGGTGCAGTAGATACAATTCAAATTGGTATTGTATTGAAAATTACCAATCACAGAACAAAACCTTTTAATTTAAACCCGACACTTTAATATAATATATGACAGCAGGCCTGCTCAGGTTACATGAAAAATTCATTAAAACATGATGCGTTCTTGCAGTGAGGAGAAAAAACGATGTTTTGGCCCCGTAGCATCAGAAGTAGCAAAATTTCAAGAGGTACCTGATAATCTGAAGGCATGACAGGCCCGCCTGAGTTAGCGCCTGAAGGCCCTATGCGTGGTTTCTTGTTCGGAGGCACCTGGTTGAGGCTGGAGTCCTGGCTGTGCTGGAGCCCCGCGCCCGCGCCCCCTCCGCCCGCGCCAGCGCCCCCGGCCGTCCCGTTGGTCTGGGTGCTGTTCTGCTGCTGCGGCTGCGGCTGCTGCGGCGCTGCCTGCGGCTGCTGCTGAGGTGCTGTTTGCTGCTGATGCTGATTCTGCTGCTGTTGATTCTAAGGGAAGAAGCGACACAACATGGTCACGTGCTCCAAGATGGGTTATGAGCTTTTGCGGGAGTTGCCAACCCCGGTGTCACCGAGAAGAAGGCAGGCCAGGCTGCTCCAGAGGAAAATACAGCAAGGTTGACTGGTGTACTGAGAACTGGTTTGTTCTCAGTACACTCTTGCACACCTTGTGGGGCTATCCCAGTTGTGATTGGTTTTCTTCTTTAACGAAGAGAGCTGGACTTAAACTGGAAGGACAGCCTAGTGTCTCCTGCAGCTAGCCAAGTGCTCAGAGAGGAGGACAGAAGGAACCATTTATAAACCAGTAATCGTCTAATGAACTAAATCAAAACTTCCAAAATTTTACTAGTGCTCAGGGGCAGACATGGTGAACCACAGCAAATTATTCTAAGAGTTTCAACAGCCTTGTTCACTCAGAATCAAAACCATTTTTCAAACTTTCACATCATCATAACCCGAAGAAGCATTACTGCCAGAAAGATAAGCAAATCAAGACCAGAGAAACCATATAATTTCTTCTAGGTTGCAAGGAAATTCTGTGGCAAAACCAGAAACAGGTTTCATTACTGTTTTGGACTCCTGTGCTTTCAAGCACCTTGCAAAGAGTGCTATAGTGGGAATAGGGTCCACCATGGTACACCAGGCATAGGGGCAGAAAATCTTACTAAAATAGCAGAAAAGTGAAAATTAACCAGAGATAAGTACTTGAAGACAAAAGAAGAGGAAACAGCTGGAGAGGAATTTGGTAAGGGCAAGAGAAGACTAGCAAAGGGAGGGCAGCCAGATAATTAAGATGACACTGGGAGCAGGAAGAGAGACAGAAAAAAGTGCCACAAAAGGGAGAAAAAAGGTTAAGAAGGAGAACACAAGAGCAAAAGATATTGTACTCTTCAGGTTTCAGAGGGCTACAGACTTAAAAGAGTATTAGGGAAGTGGAAAGAAGGTCAGAAAGTGCAACCCTGCCCTCCATGGTTAGACAGTTCTGGGAAAGACCACCCATTCATCTGCTTTTGAGCCCCAGGGATGGCTCCTCCATCAGAGCACTAAAACACATAAGAAAATTACAAAGAAAAGCAATTTCACTCCAAATGTGAGATATGTCAATTGGTTATCATAGAAAAAACCTACAACTGACATGGCTTGAATTGAAAAGCCTTATAACCCTTCCCCCAGCATACTGTAGGGAACATTCCAAGATAGTATTTTTTTTCTAGAATATCTGCTAATATAAAGATCAAAGCATGGTAGCCTTTTATAAAACCCTCACTTTATTAGTTTCCCAGAAATCATGACAACCAGTTGCCACTAGGAGAAAATTGATGCCCCAATCATCAAGATGCATTTAATTACCTCAGATAAAGGACATAAAAGATCTGTATCTATGCCATTCATCACAGCGGTCTCCCAAGATACATTCAGATGAAATTTGCAATGACGTACTTATTTAAGATTAAAAGGAACCCTTGCATCTTCAAGGACTTCAAGGTGGTTTGCAAATCCATTTCACATTTAGCAAAACTAATAATGTATTCTCCTGCCTGTAGTCCTCAAATCCCATCTCAGTCAGATTCTGTATCCTGTGAAATTTAGACTTCAATAATTTAAAAAGTTAATCAAACTAGATTGTAAAAAAGTCTATTAAGAAGTAATTAATCTTTTCATAATGGTTTGAGCTTCCCTTACACAAAAAACAATAACTAAGGCAGTATTTGTGCTAGAATTCCATAATTTGTGTTTTTATAGGGGTGTTTGGATGCAAGTTGAGGTGGTTGCTACTGTGTGAGCTGAAAAACTGCAATTCTGTTATGTGTAAACAAATACTGCAGGAACACTCATAATTAAAGAGTTTGTTGAGGTCCCAAGTTTCACACTTTGGATTTTAGCACAAAATTTACTTGATTAGCCTGAACTTGCTCTTCTGTGGAGCTACTACTGCTACTGCTACTCTACTGGGTAGAGACTGCTCTGTCAGACTCCAGCTGGGGTCTAGCTGCACCACCTTACTGCACAAAAATGGCTTACACCAGCAAAGACATTGTCCTTGGGTCAGTCTGGTTCATGGTAGCTCCTAAATGAATAAACTTATAAAAGGTTTACAGGTAACAACATATTGCCACCTGTTACTTTTCAGGCACAAACTACCAAAATGAAATTTCGGTTCTATCTACAAACAAACCCAGTAGAAACTTGGACTAACAGAATTTGAATAAGAAGAGAATAGTTTCCCTTTGTGTTAGAAACCCTCGTTTTAGCTTTGCTGACTAATGATGATGCATTTTGAAGAATGGATGTTATTCAATGAAGAATGTTAAATGCTATTCAATTCAGATTCAAGTTCCAAATAAACAAACACAGAGAAATTCTCCAGGTTTCCAAAGGACTATACAGATGTTTAAAATGAAGCAGAAACAAACCAGTATAAAAAAACCAACCAAAAAAACAACCTTTCATTTACAATAACATCATAAAGCAACAAAACATGGTACACATTGAACTTCCAGAATATCCTTTAACTCCACATTGTCTACACTGTGGGAACACATTCAAAGAGTAATGTGTGATTTATATTACCCAAATGGTCTGAAAAAAGTTTAATTTGCAGTGTGCATAAATACGTGACTGTCATCAACAATCTGAAACAGTCCTTCTCACGCAGTCTTCAGATAATTACAGTTCAAGACTGTTCTCTTCACATTTTGTTAGCTATACATTACTGTTGGTGTCTCACTGTACACTGTTAAGTGAAAATAACACGCTGTTTTTTACACCACAGAACCACTGTCCAGCCTTCACAGCATGATGGGACAATCACTGTGGTCACGTAGCAGAGCTGAGCTACACGCACCAAGCAGACCAAATCATGTTGCAAACACACCAAAGTTTACTATGCACACAAACAAGTTCTCACCCATGTCTACGGGGCTATGAGAAAGAGAATATTCAGAGCAGATTGTCACTACCAGAACAGTTCACAGTCCTTATTACTCCTTTGTCTGAGGGCCCTTAAAACATGATCAGGAAACTGTGTGCAGATGGATGAAATGTTCTGATGTAGTGCCAGAAGGAGGCTGCCACTATTTATTTGAGACCCCAACAGCCATCTACATTCAAATGGCTGGATGTATGCCAGTCATACAATGAAAATGCCATTCTTTTCATGTGCTCACAATGTATTTTGATCATGCAATGCTGGAGGAAGTAGCAAGGTCCTCTTGGAATGACAGCAGCTGAAAGCAGGCTATTGTTGACAGAACAGCCCATACAGCTCATTTCCCCACAGGTCAGGGCAAACCATGCTGGTAATACCACCTGAGACACCCCAAAGTCATCTGATACTTTTCATATTTCTGAGAAGCAGTTTTAAGAGCTGAGCGTTACCTTGGAAACACATTTTTTGTTAACTCTTCATGTTTCGTTAGTTTTCATTTGGTAGCACCACGATGCTTTCTTATTGCATATTTAAAAGTGTGTTTTCTTAAAGAAAAAAGGATTTTTTAATACCTTATCCCCTTTCTCTTCAGGTTCATCTTCATTGAGGAATTCTCTTTTAGGATATGGAATCTGACAGCCAGCAAACACACTGAAACACAGTAAACAGTAAACACTCCACAGATATGTACATATGGCATACATTTACTCACACCATGTTAAAATCAAGAGCATATAACATAACTTAATTTCTCGTATTTCAAGTGTCCTGTTTCCAAAAGTGAGTGGCAGTGTGAGCACCCAGGATAGGTGCTGATCATAACTGTCAGATCTCTCTGCTGTTGGCAGTAGGCCGGCATTGAGAAATCATGGCATGGTTGAACATGCCTGAATGCCAGAACGATCACTTTTGATCCAGATGGTAAAATGAACAAACACAGAGTCAGAGGTTCCACAACACCCAGTTAGAACACGCATGGCTCACTGAATAAAGGGCCTGATCCAAAGAATATTAGTGCCTTACGAGCCTGCCTTGGCTAACAGCAGGCTTAAATATATTTGCCAATCACAACTGCAGAGTTACTTTCAATAAGCTTCTCAGGTCTTGTTTAGGGGAAAAAGAAGATAGTTTTCAAGTTCCACTGGCCAATGGAATTTGGAACATTCCTTAATGTTTATGGTAGAGACTTTATCACAATGTAATCCTGTAATCTATGAGGAGCTATAGCTCTACCTGGGATAGCATGAGATAAACTCTAAACAGAAAATTAGAGGTAGATCTTGCTCAGTATCAATTTCTTAGATTTCTGTGCCAATGTTCAGAGTACAATCAACGTGACACGATTTTTAAAAGGGTGTAAATGAGAAAAAGAAATCTAAAACCCCCCAACTAGTCTCAGCTGGATTCATTTTGCACTCCAGTGACTGTTCCCTCCTTTTAGTGTTGCTTGCTAGCTGAGGAAACAATGAAAGTAAAGGTAGAAGTCTCTCTGCATCCAGTTCCTACAGAACATAATGCCATGCACCACCATGCTTCTAAAGACTGGGAAGAGAAGCTGTAAGTCTGCTAGTTGGAAATGAATATATAATTTGAACTTTTCATGACAATAAAATATAGAGAGACATAAATTCTGTACTCTCAAGCCTTTTGAACAAGGGATTTGTGGAATTTGAGGCAGCCATTTATCTCTTCACTCTTCTCATACTGTTACCCTGTGCAAGAGGGCATAAGAAGGGGCTGTAGGTCAGAGAATTGTCCTAATCCTAGGGAGAGGCACAATCAAAACAGTCAGTGGAAGACAGGGCTCTGTGAGGCTGTGTAAGGCAGAACAGAAGAGAGCACAGATTAATTCTGTGAATACTGCAATAATACTGTCCCTCTAGCTTTGGTAGTGTGCTCAGAATTATACCACTACTGCGGTACTGGGTTATTTTTCATGACCATTTAGTTCTGGCACCAGTAGATACAGACATTTCAGTACTACTAGTGTAGTTTCTGTGAACATGTCTGAGCTACTACTTCTTGTGGACACAGGTAGATATCTGAAAGTTTCAGATGTCATATCATTTCAGGCATTAGCATATAGTAGAAAGAAGATGTGCACAGATAAGGGAATACATACTCTGATGTAGGCAGAGGATCCTCTTGAAAGTAGGGGTCCTGCAAAGCCTGCTCTGAGGTAATTCTCTTTGTAGGGTCCATAGTAAGAAGCTTCTGAAGCTGTAAAGTATAACATTAAAAATAGCAAAAAGTTCATCAAACTACTACTTTTCAAACTATAACTTCTACGTCTTGGATTGTAGATTACTAAATTATTTCTGGCTTGTCCAGACAAGCCTAAGTTAGCATTGCTTGTCCAGTGCAGCTCCCAAGAACTATAATATTAGCACATCCATCAAAGTACTGTGAAGTACAAAGGCTGTGAAGTACTTCTCATGTAAGAAATAGTTAGGTGTATTAGGCAATATTAATTGCTATGGCTAAACCACTGTGCTAAAGTAACACTAAATTCAGCTATTACAGGTTCATAAAGCATAATTTATAAATAATGGCTTTTTGTTCTGGCACATGTATAGCTGTTCATACTGTTCTGTACAGCTGACACAAAATGAAGTGTCAGAACAGACTGAACATGACCAGGACTCTTCATATCGCTTTAGGGACAGAAACAATAAATCTTCATTTCTTGCACTGGCAGCATTCCAGAGTCAGAGCACTCCGATACTCATGCAGCTCCCCAAACCCACTCTAATTGGTACTGAAACGAGAAAGAGGGGGAGCAGACCCTTCCTAGTAACCTTCCTTCCTTGCTAGGAGGAAAATTAGCCTAAATCTATTATCTAGAATGCTTTTGACTGCAGCAGGCTATAAAAGAGAATTACACTATATTAGTAGTATAAACAGCAATTATAGGGATATTGCACCATTTTAAAGAATTACTTATTTATCACATTCTGATAAACTCACAGTAGGAAATTTGGGTGCTCAAATTACATTATACAGTATCCTGCTCTCATACAATACTCTCTTAATTCAAGTCAACAGTAAAATTCCTTCTGTAAAGGACATTTTAGTTCAAACTGTCTTTCAGTCCTCCAACAAAAACTGCCTGGATATTCAGCAAAAGAATGTGACTTTGGCATGGGTATTTGGGGCTTTTTCTTCCAATAAATTAAAAATCTGATATACAATTCTATATTCTATATATTTGCTACAATAAGCAGCCTCAGTAAGAGTACCCACCCTCCTCAAGAAAGATGATTCCCTGTATTTCCTTTCTCAGTAGTTATAGTTAACCCTACCCGGTAGATAAAGCCTATTAAATTCTTTGTACCTATCCTTATTATTAAATTCTTCACACCTATCCTTATTCACATACTTTATGGCCATGGACCTCCACAGACTGACAACACAACAGAGCTATTTTGGGTTGTCTTTCCATTTATCAGTTCATTTCCAATCAGCTCCTGAAATTATTTGTTGCTTGCCTAGAGATACACCTCAAGATAATCCTGCACTGCACACACCTGGAGAGCTCACCTGAGACATTTATCTACTGTAACAAATCAAACTTCTAATGTGCTGTTGGTTCTCTACACAGTGACCTCACACAATATATACCACAACCTGAGGACTCCAGCATCTTTACTTCAAATCACCACCTCTCCCTACATGCAAAAGTTATAGCAGCTTCTGACACATTTCTTCTCCCCAGTTCCTCCACAGTGACTGCAGGACAAATATGCAAATTCTGTACAAGGTCACTCCTGGTCTTTGGTACCAGATGTCATCCTTGACAGAAGAGTACAGGGCATCAGCTCTGCCCCCCGAACGCCTTCCTCAGACCTGCTTGATGCAGTACTACTCAAGAGAAAGCTCATCCAGTTTTCTGCCATGTAACACCATCATCACAAACTGCCTCCAAACATGACCTGTAATCTTTGTCACTCAAACATAAGGCTAATGTACCACAGCAGAAGACCTAAAGACATCTTGGACCTTTTAATGATGTGCTCTTTCCATCAGCATTCACCCTTCATCCCGAGGATACTATCAGTTTGTACATTCCAAGTGATACCACACGTAATATCACTGCAAGTGAGATAACCTGCCTATCAGTGATGCCACCGGGAACCAACTTTCTTTTAGAAAGTCTGGTTATCTGTACCTTCTGGGAAAATGAATAAAAAAAGTCTGGAGGCAATTTGTTTTCAGGGTAGCAGTTGCTAACACAACATAGCAAACCCATGAGATTAGACTTCATCAAAAGTCTTACTGCTCAGCAGGTCTCAAAATTGCTCACTCGGGCTCCCCTGGCCTGACATGACAGCTATAAATACTATACTTGTAACTCTTCCAGGGCAGCAGGAACAGATGCCTCTTCCTGAATAGAAAACATTCTGCCTTTCATGTAGATACTATCATTCAACGTCAATCAGCAGAATGGCACAATATTCTCTTTGTCAAGAGTCACTTGCTATCCTGCACTGGTCTACTCGATGCCATCTGTTCTCCAAGCACCACACTTTCTGTACTCATCAGCACAAGGTCTTGATCACTGACTGTTACAACGCAGATGCCTCCTGAGGTCACCTTGCAAGATGGAGGCTGCCTCAAAAAATAACTACCTTGGATATGAACAAGGAGCTTTAGGAGTTTTAGAGTTTTATACCTCTAAAGGTATGTACTCTAAAGGTACATGCTTCAAAATACATGTACCTCCAAGCTCAGCAGCAGACGTATTTCTTATCTCTTGATATGGGAGAGCAACGCACACCTTTCCTTTAAGATCTGCTGTAGGACCTTTCACAAGATAAGGTAGGAACTGAGCTTCTTTGCTGTAGTATGGCTACGGCAATTTTTAGGTGCATGAACTTATTCAGTACAGCAATGAGGTATCAAGAAGGTTGTCCATATTCCTGGGCATTCTTATGCAGATCTCTGGGACACTGCACTGGCCTATCTGAGATCAGTCTCCATCTCTGTGGCTGATAATTAAACTACCCTTATTCATCCCTGATTATGAACTATGAGAAAAATCTAACAGAAACTACCTTGATTAGTGAACTAAGTCTTCTCCACGATGTTCAGAAAGAACAGTAGTTTTTTGTTCTTTAGAGATCTGGTTAATATTTCCTCCTGGAAAAGCAGCCTACCCACCCAAGATGACTCTCAATTTTGTCTTCACAATCTTGATGAATTAGCCATGTAGGCTGACAGCAACTCATTTGCTTCTCTGCCTTTCCACCAGCTTTTCTGGTGGCTTCCACCTTTACTAGGAAAACATAGAAATTCAGGTGCTAATTAATGTCATCTTTTCAGTTAGACTTATCATCTAAGTGATTCCAATGTGTACCAAGTAAGTTCAGTTTAGGAAGTTTTAATTCATTTTAATTCAAGTCTCACACTTCTTATGGGAATGCTTCCCTTACACCCACTTGGGATTAACCTACTCTGTTTCCACAGCTATTTGTGTCATCATCCAGCAGCTACTAACAAGTCAAAGAGTAAATCTTTGCCAGGACCTAGAGAGATGACTGGTATGCTGAATCTGTAACTGAAAACAGACCACTGGAACCCAAGCTGCACTAAGCCTTTTTGCAGAGGCTCCCTATTCACAGTACTAGCAAAGTCACTTTGAACTTCATTCCTAAATTTAGACAGCACTAAGTCATCACAGAGGCATCCAGGAATGATCCACTGGCCTACACTGGATGACTCAACTAGGTAACCAGCATATTTATGTTTAGGGATTTTGTTTGGAATTGCACACGCAACAGTGGTAGACTATCGTCAGAGGGAAGAAAAACAAATTACTACAGAAAATAAATTTCTCCTTTCCTCCTCCCTTTCTTCACAAAACTATTTCGCTTCTGGAAGCTCTCTAGCTCTCTGGGACAACAAGAATCAAGACATATACTATACTCACTCTCCTATTTGCACAACAGACCTAAAGGTAAGGCTGAATATACAAGTGCCTTGCAGACCTTAACTACAGAAGACTCTCGGATCTTCACTACCAGCAGTTTAAGCACACCTCAGCATAAATGTACATGAAGGAAACATATCTCAAAAATGGCCAGTTAGTGGTAAATAGCTTTCTTTAACACTGGTGTTCATTAGAATGAGATAGAAGAACAGACACAGATATTACCATTAGAAATGCATTTCATTCCTGTCATCACAGCAATTTTCAAGTTGCACCTACCAAAAGAAAAACTTTGCTGTCAGGCTTGACTTTGTGTTTCTCCATGTATTTTATGAGGCTACTATTGGCATATCTGAAAAACACAGTTAAAGAAAGACATGTCTGAAATAATACTGCATGAAAAACATGGAACTCTATCAAATGATCACAAAAACATTTACCAGCTCTTACTAAGTAAGCTATAAAAAGAGCTGCTATCAGAAGACATGTGAGATATTTATCTAGCAGTGGCAAACATAAAAGAGTGCTTTTCACCAACAAGACTGGTATCAACTTTGTGAAGATTATTTCCATGAAACAAGTAACTTTTATAGTATATGGATAAATTGTTGATATGGACATATAACAGAGAGACATAACCTGAAGTTTATACTATAGTTTTCTAAAGCAACTCTGCCACAGAAAGTGTTCAGCCCTTTGTCACAGCTCAACAACTAAGCTATTAAGTTGTTTCCAGTTATAATTTGGCACAGCAGTTAAGGTTACCATTATGTCTTCCCGATCCCAGCCTGCAACAAATCATATAGTCCTTACAGTTCCCAAGCTCAAAGATCCCCAAACATTCATTACCTGTGGCTTGCCTTGAATTTACAGTTCCAGAGGTTATCTATAGCCATTTTCAAAAGAAAGAAGCTTCATGCACAGATAAACTTCATGTCTTGTCTAAAGACAGTGTAATGAATCCATGGCAGAACGGGAAACAGAATCCAAAGCTTCTGAATCGATGTCCTCTGCCTTACAACAGTCTGTTTGGCTCCTTACAAGTTCTGATCTATCACCACCACTTGACTAATTTAGCCAAAGCACCAGAAAACAGCAAAAGTGGAAAATTCTCAGACCCCAGACAGGCTTTGAATCACAACCTATCGAACATATTACCTTCCATAGAAATTTCTGTCCATTGTATTGCTGTCTCTGCATATCTGCTTGTCAAAAGTACCAGTGCTTCCCTATTCCTTCTCACACAAAATGAGTGAAGTCATCTTCAACATGGAAAGTAAGTGGGTTAAGCAAGCTCATTTGTCTGTGCCTGCCATAGATTAAATGACAGTTATGACAACACCCTTCTAGAGAAATGAGGAGGCCACTCAGCTAATGTTTTTAACAAGCAGCTGTGTAAAAGAACACCATTCAAGCAAACCAGCTAGTTCAAACAGGACTGCTGTCACAGTGTTAGAATCCAAATTCTCCAACACTCCCTCCCCAAAAAGTCAGAGCATAGGAGTTGATTTCTGCCTCTGCTACATTCAGTGAACTGATGTTGCATTATCATCACTTACGTTGTTCTCCTAAAATCTTTCTGAAGAGTTGGATATTCTGGCATCTTCCTTATGTCTTCCCAGTCTTTATCTTTGGTAGGGAGGAAAAAAAAAAAGGCATTTACAATTCTGAATATGTAGGTTAAGTAATACATGAGAAGAAATAACTACAGCAGTTGTTTGACTTCCTGTTTGTTGGCCAATGCTATTGTTCCATAATTGTCAGCATTTCCAAATCCATCAAACTGTCAGATTCTTTGTACCTATACAAACAACCATTCATTTCCTTTAGAAAAAAAAACAAAAAAAAACAAACAAAAACCCCCACAAACCCAAAAAACCCAACTCAGTAGCATTACATCTGATGCTATAATGAAAATAAATTACCTGCAGGGAATCCCATTACACTGAAAATGCGGTCTAGTTGATCATGATGAAAAGGATTACTTGTTTTGATGTCCTCCTGGCGACAGTGAAATATAGGTTCTGAAGTCAACAGTTCAGCAAATATGCAGCCAATTGCCCAAATATCTACGAAAGAAGGAAGATAATTCACGTAAATTTACTGTACTCAGTCTCTCTGGTTTTTGTTTCTGCACAATTTCTCAACCTTCACAGTAAAATTATATACAGTACTTTAAAAATAATGCATTATTATAGTACATGAAAAAAAGGGTAAAACCTGGAGGTTGGTTTTTTTTTTTCCCCAATGAAAAGAGTTTCCAAATACAAGTCATACACTTGGAGTCCAGCACTTCATGTATTTCACAGTTATGGCAGAAACCTACACAATATTTGCTGACGACATAGCGCTTAAAGGGCATTCAACTGACCATCAAAATCAAATTATAAATACCCCATACACATACATTGAAATAATAGTTCTACCATATATTTCAGAACAATTTGAAACAGATAACTGACAACCAAATAAACACTAAGAAGGAAAACACTAATGACTCATATGTTTAATCAAATGGTGCAAGCCAGCCACAGTGGAGAAACAAGATTGTAATTTTAATCGAGAGTAGAATAGTGATTACCAAACTTTTAAAAAAAGAAATACTGCTCGACAACAGAATCCCACTGCAACAATACTTTCATTTCCTCATCTACATCTCATGCACATAAAAGAAAACAAAAGCATAATATCTGACAGTTGGACTTGATCTCAGAGGTCTTTTTCAACCCTAATGATTCTATGACTCTGTATGTTGACGTTTTACTGAAACAACAACAACAAAAAATCCCTGTATTTCATTAACGTGCTTTTTTTAGATTAAATTTATTGTGGACAAGAACATTAATTTACAAGAGAATAATTTTCTAGATTACATGTATTCATTTTAGTTATTGCTAATCACCACCCATCTTAGCATTCCGTATGGCTCAAATGCTTTATTATGCATCTTAAAATTAAAGTGTGAATTTGTCAGTGAGAAGAATGTAGTTACTGGCCTAAAAAAAAAAAAAAAAAGTATTTGCTACACCAACAAATATGTGTCTGGGATATAACTTTTGAAAAAGATGTTCAGATTAGATGAATAATGAGCATAGATTGCTGAATACAACACTGTGGAGACTTACGTAGTTATTGAGGTTAAATTGGATGACCCTGAGAAATTTTTTTTTATTTATTCAAATGTAATGGCACAAATTAAAAAAAATTAACTTTAATGTATAGGTTTAAGAGATAAAAATTATTTAACTGAAGACTTTGTTTTATTGGATTCAGACTAAAGAAAACACCAAGAGAAGTCTCTTGTTTGTTGCCACTAATCAAACTCAAAACCCTATCTGCTGCCAATGGTGTTCTTTGGCCTATGCTGCCTGAGACACAGGGTGCCCTGAAGGAAAAGCTCCCTTTATGAAAGCAATGAAGAAATAAGCCATCACACTCTTTGCCAAAACAGGTCAGTTCCATTTCCATCATGTTACAGGTGTGGAGCTTGGGGTGTCCTAATATATAACCCTTTCTTCCTACTTCCTTTACAGGAAAGTCTGGTAACATTTCATTCAGACTTTATGGTTCTGACAGGGTATAACTTGCTCTGTGCATTACATCACATTCTCGAGGTTTTATCTTCCTTTCATTTTCCTATTAGCCTTATCTGCATGAAAACAAGATCTTTAGCTGTTGAGATTTTATCTGCTCAAGCAGCTAATGCAGCATATTAATCACAATTGCTGCCTGGGTAGTAGGCATAAATTATCTACTCCAGAATGAAAATTACTTATTATTTGAAGAATAGAATCTTCATTTAACAGCATCTATTTGTTCATTTTCAGACTAAAGAGAAAATCCTCCTGGAAATGGCTTATCTAGAGGCCAAAGGAATTGCAGCTCTCTTGGTTTTGTCGGCTTTCTGCAGTACTCACCGTCCATCACATAAGTAAGGGAGAGGCTGGACCACTGCTCATTATTCTATTCGTTACTGCTCTACCCAGACTGACCTTTTCCTTTTAAAGAAAAAAAAAAGTAAAATCTAGTATTCTCACTGACACCAAAGCTAAACTGGGAAATCTCCCTGATGAGACAAAGCAAACTTCAAAACTGTTTCTCCTTTATCATCTGAACTGTGTGAGAGCAGAGCCACCATGGAAACACATTCCCACTTCCTGACCCAGTGATTATTATGGAGAGTACATTTTAAACCCTTTGAGAATTCAGAAAGGCAGACGTTGTACCAACTGGATGTAACATCTGACTAAGCACTGGCAAATCCCAAGCTGGTGTTATAATTTTCTGTGGGATGGCATTATTGGGAAACCATTCTCAGTTAATAATTTTCTGCCAAGTTTGGCTAATCCCCCTTCTTTTTTTTTTAAACATTCATAATTTACAGTAATAATTTACCACACGTGGCATTTTTTTCTAGCAGGAATGCCTCATTAAATTCTGTCAAGTTTACAAGCTTCATAAATGCAAGCAGTCTTAATAGGTATTTATCTCCTACATTGTTCATATTAGTCAAACAAAGACAAACTTCAGCTCTAACTATGGAAAAAATTCCCTACCCAGTGCCATTACATGTTTTCAACTTGAGAGCCCTAAAATAAATTTTAATTATTATTACATCTATTCTAAATCTATTCCAAGTAAGAAGTACTACCCCTCAGAAGAGAGTATGGACAGGGCAAAACTTAAAACACACAAGTAGTATTTTTCAAGTACAGTGTATTATTAGTTTAATGCACATCATCTGCTTCTAGCACAAGAGGAACTTCTCATATTGCTGTATAACAATTTCATTATAAATAAAACCTCTTTTAAAAATCAAGTACCAAAATAAGCAGCAAAAATTATGCAATAATTGGTTCACTGCTCCGCCCTCTACTAATGAGCAAGAGGGTGAGTTGTCTCATTGCTCCCAAGCCAAAGCTAAAACTACAGACAGGATCCATTTGTTATGTCCCAGACCCACTGAAAACTGGGACACATAGGTCCTACAAAGTTGCAATGTGTACTAAGTGGTTTTCCATCTGATGTCTTGGGAAAATCCCAATAAATTTAGCAGAGTAACACAATCATTCCTGGAAGGATGGTTCTGTTTCCTACAGTCTCTTCTACTGTCACCAGACTTCAGGACTAATCTGAGGTAAAAGGTTTTTATTGCTTGTTGAGGTGTGTTGTTTTGTTGGGGCTCACCCCCCAAGACTTACAGACTGCCCACTTTCCCCAAGTTTACACTGAACCTGAGTGCAAGCCAGTTTTGCTCTCTGGCTCTGGGAAGAGGAGTGGGAGTGACTTCTAACCAAACAGATTGCTCAAGTTCTATTCAGTCCTATTCTCCAGTGAAATATCTTTCCATTGTAACAATACCTTTCAAGTACTGCATAATTTTATAAAAAGAAAGAAATAGCCTTTTAAAGGTGGCCACTTGTGGTTGGTAAACAGACTTTCCACGTATATACCTGCATGCACAAATTATGACAATATTTGTGTGGCTGTCTACGTCCCAGTTTTAAAATGTGTGACTCTAATAGCTTTATAGGTCAGCTGAGAAAATCCTGCACGTCCCACTCTATGTTAGCACAGCAGCCAAAGTGCAAGTGCAAGAGGATGGTGACATAGCTGTTTTAATGATAGGGATTATTAACTAGACAAATGCTCATGTATTCTTTCACTTTTACAGCCCAATAATCTCATTTCTGTATTTATTCCAGTATCTTGGAAACATTCTTTAAGAATTCTATGATCATTTAAGACAATAAGACAATATACTGAACAATAGCCCTGACTCTCAAAATGAAACATCTTTTCCCAGGCATATTAGCCAAAATGTTTCACTGAACACAGGACAAAATTGAAGATTAAATATGTTATGATTCTTAACTATATGCAAGAAAAGAAATATATAAACAAGTTCTTAGTCTCATATAATTCTTTAATAAAATTCTGTTAAAGTAAGTAAAGACTTGGAAAGCATCTATTTAGCTGAAATCGATCTGAGGAATTCATCATTAGTGAGGTTTGGTTTAGTAGCATCAGTGCTCAAACAAACTGCCTTTTTTTTTCTTTTTTTTGTTTTGAACACCAAGTCTAGGCTCTAGGACACATCCAAACGCTGGTGAAGGAAGAGATGAGCAGAGGGACAGCAGAATAGAGCTTCTCTCTACCCACCAAGGGCTAATGCAATAACCAGGGTACCCAAAAGCTAGTTAGCAAGGCTTTAGCCCAAACAAGGCTGTCCAGGTCACCTATAAGAGCTACAACGTTTATGTAAGATTCACCAAAACCTTCAAATCATGGCAAGGACAACAAATACACCAACAGACTGGAAACCTGAAAGGTGGCTATGCAGGCAAATATGTCTAATTTTTTCAAATAAACATCAATTGGTGTAATGAAAAGGTACAACTTCTGCAAAAACACATCTTGCATCTCTTCTTCTGAGCACGGCAGCAGACTTACCTGGACTCTTTAAACACAATGATCTAGGAGCACAGACATACTATAGAAACTGAGTTTATTAATCTTTACACTGCTTTTAAATACCTAGAAATCAGATTTAATAAAACAATATATCTTTAAAGAGGGATTTCTTTAGTCTGGTATGGCGAACAGAACAAACCTGTTACATACTTGTTGCTATCACACATAGACACAAGGGAAAGATCTTCTCTTTTGTACAAAGGTCCCAAATTCTGTATGCTTCATTGAAACTTCAGTCAGCAAAACAGAATGTCGAGGAACAAGTGGTTACTAGCCTTTTAAATTTGACACCTTCCACGGAGGACTGCAAAAGGGGTCAAATATTTACATGTGACAGGCTTTTCATGAGGAAGTAAAAAATGGTGTCAGCGGGCTAAGGGTCAGAAATTTGCTGTCACTCATTGGTGAGTTTGGCAATGTTTGCTGATCTTTAACAAACAGCATCTCAACAGAACTCGACTGAAGAATAACTTACAGTGTAAAGCCACAAAGATGACTGTACTCTGTACTGCAGGCAGAAACAATACCTCTCAGTAATCTGAGGGATGCTCACAGCCAGCCAAACACATACCTAAGAACAATATTTTATTTCAAA